CCCCAAAAAAAAAAAAAAAAAAAAAAAAAAAAAAAAAATTGCTAGTACTTATTAGAAAACCAAATATTGTTTTTTTTAAATAACACTTATGTATATTATCATAATTTATGAAATTAAATATAATTTTCTCTCAATTTAAAAATACAACAGTAAATATATTTTCTTTGTGGCATGTGAAAATTAAAAAAGTTTTTCAAAACTGAAACAAACCTAAACTGTTCATATGCATCTTTCAACAAAGGAACTATAGACTTGCCATCCAAGTGTTCAGGTCGGTTAACTCCTCCTAACTCTAAGAATGTCGGAGCCAAATCCACATTAATGACAATGTCAGAAATCCTGCAGTGGTAAAAAATTACGAATTTTGAACCCAAGTGATATAATTCGCATTAGATTAATAATATACAAGATGCAGACAAAGTAAGTAAAACAAATAGGTTTTTTTGTTTGATTTTAACTTCAACCCCTATCTGTCTGTTTCACATTTGAGAGCAAATTAATGAATTTAACAAGGAAGGTGTCCTTCTGTTTATTAATTTAACACATTTGAGACCTTGACAAAAAAAAACAGTGAGGCCAAACTTCAATGAGCTAAAGTAAAGGTCATAGTTTAATAACTGTAATTCCACTATTAATTATCAGAATTAAAAAAATAAACATAATTACCTACATCTAAAACTCACCGTACTCCTTTAGGAACTAAAGGTCCTCGCACCAGAAAAGGTACTCGTACATCAAATTCAAATGGCTGAGATTTGCCCTTCACTAGCCCAAACTGACCTAAGTGATAGCCATGGTCAGATGTGTAAAATATATAAGTGTTTTCAAGTTCTCCTAGATTCTTTAGTTCATTGTACAGCTGAAAAAAGGGTATTTTAAAATTCTGTTAAATTACTAAGTTGAAGAAAAAATAAAATCAACTAAGAGTTTAAGAGGGAATTTGTCATCTTTTAATACTAAAGATGGAAAGTTATGGATACTTTTTTTTTATTCAAAATTCCTTTCCTAAAAAGAATTCCCTGCTGGTTATTTTAGGTAATATTTAAAGTAACATTCCTGTTTTCATTAAAATGGTTTTAATCCACAAAAGACCATCTGCATTTTTTGTCCCAAAGCCCATAATTTCAAACTGCAACACGCTTTACCACATTAACTGTTAAATACAAAAGACACAGTACATGTTTTCTTGTAATGTAATATATATTAAAAATATATATATATAATTCTCTTTGGTATGGTATATGTTCTTGAACTTTACAGCGCATGTAAAGAGGCAAACATAAGTCATAAGAAATTAAACATCCAAAAATTAAATTTTAATATCTTAACACCATCAAAAATAATAACACTGTCCCATACTAGTGCTGAGTAACCCAAACTGTTGATGGACAAAATAAGGTGTTTAATCATGATCAACACTCACGATGGTGGACAATACTCAACAGCGTATTACAAGTACATTCTGGAATACTGATCTCTATTGTGCTTGTTTAAAAACACATAATATGTACACCTTTCAATACTGAATCAACTAAAGTGCTTATTTATTGCCTTTACCAATAAATATTTTTGTTACAAATCTCAGTAACTATCAGATTTCGAGCAGTACTAATAATACAAATGGGCTGTAAAAACTCTAGAAAAACTCATTAGAAGCAGCATTCAGAAACAAGATACTGTTTATGCAACATATTAAATTTTTTACACATAAAACATAAACTTATCAAGTGCCCATGTGAGTAAGTGATGTTTTCTTATCATTATTTCTCAGTAGGGCAAACCAACTGAACTAAACATATAAATCAGCAATCCTTATTTAATCAGTTTCTATTTACGAGAGTAACCAAAGATATCTTTAGCCTAGATAAAGTTTTGAAAATCACAGTATTTTGCAGTATTAATGCAAAAAAGTGAACAAAAAAAGATGGTAACAGAAGACAAACAACATTAAGTGATATGTTTGTGCATTGTTAATGTTGTATTCATTTCTGTTTACGTACCATTACACAGCATATTTAAATTTTGTGTTGTTTTTTTTTATATTTTCTCATACGTATGAAATTTTCAAGCAATATTTTAGCAGTTTCTTGGGAAAGTTTTTTAATAATTCAATAGCCTAAAACACTGTATATACATATTATAAACTTAGTTTGTTATGTTGCTTACAAAGGTGTGTACATATAAGAATATTTTAAGATATGCGAGAGAAAATATATTTTGGGCCAATCCTCAAGCACTGGAACGATATCAAGTTTAGTACCAAATATGTAACTCAATCTAATTAGTACTATAATTTGACAATATCAGAGACACTGGAACTGCTGTATTACCCCCACTTTTACATATTTGACATATATAGCAACTGTAAATTATATTAATTTTCTGGAGGGCATACCTCAGACCCCCCTATGTAACTCAATCTAATTAGTACTATAATTTGACATACCAGAGACATTGGAACTGCTGTATTACCCCCACTTTTACATATTTGACATATATAGCAACTGTAAATTATATTAATTTTCCTGGGGACATACCTCAGACCCCCCTTAGATTGAGCTGCTTTTAACAGCTCTTTATACTTTCAATCTCTCATTGTAAATTCTGCATGTCTAGCCAAACACCCCCACTTCCTACACCACTAAATACAGAAAATACTTGAGTCAAAACAACATTACTAATAATAACTTTTTATTTTATATAAGTAACTGAAGTTAAATAAACTGACCTGTTTAAGTTTTTTGGTGTCTACTAATTTATTTTCAATACTACTTTACAAAAAAAAGATATTCAAGAAATCACTAGCTTATGCTGCAATCTTCATAAAATAAAATAGTGCTTCAAATAATTGACCTAGACAAGTGCACTTCAGGACAAGGTTTCTCTTTAAATGTTATAGAATTCAATGATAGAAAACAATTCTAACTTTTGTTATATTATAGAAAATACAAGCTGAACATTTTATATAATTTACCTCAACTTAAAAGGATTATAAATCTCTCTTTGCTGAACATATTAACTAAATTTCTTAGGAAAGCCATCTTACTTTTTCTATAGCATCGTCAACAGACTGCAAAGTCTGTAATCTTTTAGTGTGGAGAATATCAGTGAACTTCATGTGGATAGGTTCCATCTTTCCGGTGTAACGAAGAAGCCACTGTTTATCATTATTTGGAGCATAGTCCCAACTTGGAGTCCTAGAAAAATGTGATACATTCATTTTAGAGAAAATATAAAAGTATAATAATACATTATTGAAATGATAAACATTTAATTCAATGTTTTAGTAACAAATATATTGAAAAATATTAAGATTTAAGGTTTATATGAATTTTTAACAGCCTTCTTATAACCAACCAAACAAAAACATTTTTATGTACAGAAAAATATAGTCTGAAGATAATCAGATTACCTTAATTTAGTCTATTCATATGAAACTGAAACAAAACTCAAAATATATTAGTATGATAAATTCCATGGACTTGCTTTCTTCTCATACAAAGATGGTGATTAGAAGACTTACTAAAAACTAACACAACACAGATTATATTTTTTTAAATGTAAGAAATAATATATTATATATATAAATTTATAATTTCAGACATCATTCTAAAAACTGATACGCTATTAATTAAATCATTATAATATAATTAATTTTAAAGTTTTACATTTATTAGCTTGGCTGCCATGTGAAATAAGGGATAGATATTACATTAATAGGAACCTATATATATAAATATCGATAAAAATGATTAATTAATACCTTTGCCCACAGATGGCGCAACCCTTGTATAACTTGAAGAAATTATTATCTGTCATGTTTATTTAATTTCACTGTTTCTTTCCTTCCAAGAAGTATAAATTTTCGCACTATGCTTATTATTATTATTATTATTATATAGCTTAGCTCTCTGTATTAAATATACGTTTTTAAATACAATATTTTTAATATACTGTGTTAAAAAGTGTTTTGAAATAATCTGCTTGCTGGGCATAATTGTTTTGCTATTGAGTTTTAATATTTTATTTAGATAACTAATACATATATTTTACACTATTTAGAGATATAAGTTAATTTTTGATATAGTTATAATTAATTTCTCAATTTAAAAAAAATCAACCACCAGCTTGAGCATTTTTGAATTATGAAATTAATTTATAAAAAATAATGTTGTTCTTTATTTAATAAGATAGAGTTATTTCAAAATCTAGTATTTTTAGATATATTTGGGTTCTGCAGTAATGCCCTCTGGTGGGTCACCAGTATTTAAACACTTACAGTCTTAAAAATCTAGCCTTTAATTTCCCATAGTGAAGAGAGCAGGATAGCTTTGTGCTAAAATACCAATAACTGTAGTAAAACAACAGTGCCATTACTGCATGGTGGATTACAATGACAGTGTTAAAAGAATAAATTAGATCTGAATGAGGTAGTTTTAAAATATTTTGAAGATACCTTTATTCACAAAGTTATGTTAGTTTAGTTATAGATATGTTTCCATAATAAATTATTTAGTTACAAAACAGAATAAATTCTTCCACACATAACTGTATGAATCTTTGGTTAGTAACATTAATGTTATGCAAATAGAATTTTTCTATTTTTCTTTAATTAGACATTAAATAATAATCCATGGAAAAGAATATTTGAAATCATCATACGACTCCACAATAATAACAAAATGATAAACCTATTATAAAAGCAGTCTTATAACCAAAAAGTATTGGTCAATTATGACAGCTTTTAAGTGCGAACAGCCAGAATACACATTGCTTACTTTCCAATTGCTTCAGTAAATGGTACTGTATTAGTGTTTCTAATGATAAAACTAGCTGTGGTTGGCCCCAAAGTATAACTTAAGAACTGAGATTATACAATGTTACTCATCTGAAAAGTTGTTAACATCAAACTAAAGTGATTTTAAAAAAAACTTCACCTGTGAGTAGTGATATTGTGAAAGAGATTTTGGTGCTGGGGAGCAGATTCTTCTGGTCCATGAGGTGCTGGGAAGGACATCACTAACATCACAGGCTTTTCAGCAAAGTACTGTTTTGACAGCCGTAAGAAAGTCATACTGTCGTTAGCAATCAAGTCAGGGTAGTAGTCTTGATAATAGTCATCACCATGTTTGATTTTGTTCCCATTCATGTTGATTGTATAGTTATAGAACCGAGAATTTCTTATCAAGCCAGCCCATTCTCTCCAGCCAGGTGGTACATAGTCTCCATTGTATTCATTCAAATACTTACCAAAGTAGGCTAAAACAAAAGTAAATTAACATATTCAGCTAGCTTTTTGAAAAACACGAATTAAGTGTGTCATATTTCATGTAGTGCAAAGTGTTCTATATACTAGACAAATGATTACGTTGAAAATAGAATGCTTGGCAACACTGTGAAGAAATAAGAAAATTCATTACACAAATAACTGAAGAAAATTATCATATAAAACTGTAGAATTAGAGCAAAAACCTAAAATAAAAGCTCTCCCGTTTAGTTGGTACACTGGAGTTTTAAACAGAAAACAACAAAAAAACAAATAAGAATAAATAATAAATACTCTCATATAATTATTTACCCCAAACAAATTTTGCTAAAGTGACAGATAAATAACCATTTCATCAATAAAAAACTACAAGTTTGTTTCTTCTTGTATAGGTACATAATCCTACATTCTGAAATACTTTCATGAAAAAAAATTAGCTACAATTTTTTTCTCCAAGACATCCTAAAAGTCGAGCTTGAAGTGAGATTACTGTCAAATAACAAAACTAAAAAAACTGTCATGCAAGGTTTCAAAAACAAAATGTATGCTTATTCAAAACATTAAATGCATTAATTAGCTAATACTAGTGTAGGGAAATCATACACGTAAATAAGCAAGATAAACTACTGATCAAAGGATAAAAGTTAATAAAACAAGCAGTATTATATCTAAAGAAATAATGATTAACCAAACACAGATTTTAATTAAAGGTTGTAGGAAAATATTGTGATATTTTAAAGTGTAACAAGGAGTGAGAAAACAAAATCTAATTAACCTCAAGACATTTTTTGTCAAGAGTCACATATTGTGGCATACTGTCTTCTTAAATTAAAATGTACTTAATTAAACGTTGATCTGAGTTTCCTTCTTATTAAATAGAAACATGTAAAAGTAAAGATACAGTTTACAAAAAAACGTTATCCATCCATAGAGAGGTGACAAGAATAATGAATTTTCAACAACAGTCCCAGCATATTAAATAAATATAAAAAACAACTTAAATTTTAAAATTTGCTTCCATTCTGCACCAATTCTATTGCTACCAGCTTTAAAGGATAAGCCTAAGTACAGTTGGAAACTGATAAAGAAGTTTCCACCTTGTCAAGCTATAAGGGTGTTTTTTTAGCTTTCTATTTAAGCCTACTTAAAGTTTTAGCAGTTTTCTATCATTGTGTATGTCTTATAAGTTCCTCTTGTTTATTGCATTGCTTACACTTCCATCTGTATAAGAGAATTATTTTATAAATCCTGATGACTAGGTAACAATATAAACGTTATCAACTCCCTTGTGGCTCAGTAATATGTCTGACGGCTTCTAATGCTCTACTAATCGTGTTTTGATACTTGTGTTGGGCACAGCACAGATAGTCTATTCTGTAGCTTTGTGCTTAATAACAATAACAAAAAGCAATGTCATTATTTTCAAATAACTCAACCGGGTATTTATAGGTTACCTGTTCGATAGCCAGCATTGCTCAAATAAGTTGCAAAGGTTCGTGTCTCATGTTCCTGCTGCCATTGGGGAGAGCTACAGTTGTCATTGTTGGTAAAAACGTTATGATTGTGTGCGTAGAGGCCAGTTAGCATTGAACTTCGAGAAGGGCAACACATTGGAGTTGTGACATAAGCATTAGGAAAATGAGCACCTCCTTCACCAAGAATCCTCAAAGCCTTTGGCATGAAGTTCAATGACCCTGTTTAAAAATAAAAAATCCATAAGGGTATTAACAAAAGTAAAGCATCCATCAAAATACACATATTTCAGAGTAAAAATTTTAACAATACATACATTGATTTTACAACTCCTTCCAAAGAACCTACAGCTAAGTAAGATAAAGTTTTACCTTACATTTATCAATTAAACTTTGTTAGGTACATTCCAACAAATCATGTATGCCTGGTTATTTAGAACTTTATTCAATAAGTTAAAATGCTCTTGGCCACCAGGGTTTATTTTCTTATTAACTAACTACCCGAAAAACCCATCCAACTATAGAATAACAGAAGGGCTCCCCCATCCAGGGAATGACATAAGGGGAACAGATCCAAATTCCAACATCCATATGTTACTCCAAAGGATACCCTAAGAGTGCATATCAAGTTTGGTTGATATTGGTCAAAACTGAAGGTGTCCCCTGGAGAGTAATATGGGGATCAGATCTAGACATTATACTTCCTATGTCACTCCCCAAGGTGATTGTAAAGATCAACACAATAGTACAAAGAATACATAGGAGCTTCTTGGGGAGTGAGTGATATGGAGTGGTCATACTCAAAAAATGACACCCCCCTACCATGTTACTCTCCAGGGAGTTGCAAAGATGCATGCCAAATTTGGTTGGGTTTGGTCAAGAATTATAGGTGTGAAAGATCAACACATGCAAGACCCATAAAGAATTAAATTAAGGGGGGGCATCAGTCTGGACAATAATTGGAGGGTCCTAATGATGCATATCAAGTCTGGTTGAGATTAGTCAAAAACTACAGGAATGAAAGGAGGGCACAGATACAAAGTGGTCCCTAAGCTAATGGTGCATGTCAAGTCTGGTTGAGATTAGTCAAAAACTACAGGAATGAAAGGAGGGCACAGATACAAAGTGGTCCCTAAGCTAATGGTGCATGCCAAATAGTAGCATAGGTAGTCCTTTGTTTTTCCACGAGCAATGATTATTAATGAACTTGAAACTGTCTGATATCACTCGCACATAAACAGTATTCTTATGAAGTAATTAGTGACACTATATAATATACATGTTTTTGAAACATTTTGACGAAGGAAAATCTATAAATGGAAATTTTGTTGTTCTTTTTGGTCCCCGAGGAATTCCTCTAAATTAGGGTCATTGTTGCCACTCCTGCTTGCTCTCTCATATTTAGGAGGAACGTTTGCTCCCCCAGTTCCTATGCTACTGACACTAAGTTTGGTTGAAAACAGTGAAAAAGTATAGCCATGAAAAGAAGAATAACACAGACGATCCTTGTGCTTCACAGATACTAATGTACAGCTACACATCCTAGAGGGTGCAGAAAAAGTAACATTATAGATCTGACAAATACTACAAAATTCAATGTAGTTTATAATAGCGTAGTATCTAAATAAACACTAATTTAATTTTAATTAAGAATAAACATTCACAGCTTTATGTTCACTAGTTTTAGTCTATGCTAAATGTCACATTTAAAAATGCTTATTTAGTAAATTTGTCTTTCTTTAGTATCTTCTTTACATATTAAAACTAGCTGGAAGACTACTGTTATATATAGGTTCTTGTTGCATGGGCATTTACATTTTTTAATGCAAATAATTACACATTAATCTGACTACCATTACCAGTTTAAAACGTTTTCAAGATTCTGTTATGCATTGTACAAGTATTTGTTTAATCTAGTTAGAGTCAACTAGACATTTTGAGACATTTTTGGTATAATGTTCAACACTTTTTTTAGGAGTGAAGAGATTCTTTTATCCAACACATTAAACTGAGAATGTTTAATACAAGAAAAACTGCACAAGGAAAATGTTTAGAACATCCTACACATACTATCAATTACTCCAACTAGTTCCCCACCCTTTTGATGCAAACTTAAGGAGCGGCAAACTACTTTACCTACAAGGAGATACATGTTACCAATGACGTCCCAACCTAGTAATTACACATAAGTACACCACCTTCATCACACAAAGAAATATATTTTACTGATCCCTTTCTCCACCAACTTCTGATGCACACATATATATATGACGAGTTCTTGCACACCTTCAAGACAAATCTTTATTGCAACACCCCAGAGGGTTTCAACACAACTATGAAATAAGAATAGCACAACAATCTATTCTTAGTGTTACGTGATTGTAATATAAGCGTAAGTTATAAATCACAAAATTACAACAGGCCACCCTTCCCATCTTAAAACAAAATAGTAAAAGGTTTAGAGATAACATTTAAAAATTCCTAAATAAAACAACTACACGTTTAATTAGGTATAATTACTGCTTAAGAATTTCATACAATATCAAAAGATTCATCTGCACGAACAACAAAAACGAAAAATGCAGAGAAAATCCTTTAAATTATAAATTTTAATCCCAAGAATGCAAGAGATTTTTTTTTATATTTAAGCTTGACTTAAAAGAATTATTTCCTAAACTTTAAGAACATACAATGAGAAACTACCTATATCTGCTTATTTGGGTTTAATAAGTTTAAATGTTATTAATAATTAAAAATCACTCCAGAGGAATATTGATAGAATTAAAATAATAAAAATTTCAAAAAAAGAAAAGAAAAAAAAAGCAGAGCCTCCTACCTTAATGAAATTGTACAAACAATAAACCAATACATATAAGTAACACTAATCAAACTTGCAAATAGTTTTACTGTGATAAGGTTAAATTTCTTTTTATGTTGATGCTAATATCAAATTATATTAATGTTACAAATTAAAAGATAAAATGAAGTGTTTTAAGATACCATTAACACTCAAAATGGTTATTTGAAATAGTTAGCATGTGAAAAATATTATTATTCCCAGAGGGACACTGGCAAGTTTACTGACTTAGAATGCTAAAATCCAGGGCTCAATATCCTGTAGTGAACACAGCAGATAGCTGAATGTGGCTTTACTCTAAAACAACCAACCAATCTTATCCCCAATCATACTGTAGATCAGATGGAAATAGTCTATATACACACACACAAGTTTATTTTAATGAAAATGCTTTTTACTGTATTAATTTATTCATAACGTTTGTGTTAAATAACGTTTATATTTATTCCATTCATGTAACTGCAGTTTTCTTTACTTAACATCCTAAAAAAAAAGAAAATTCAGTTGATACTTTCTCCTTCTTACCTATGAAGTTGAACCATTCTATCTTCATTATACTACTGTCCTCATTGAGTCTCTTCCCTCAATATATGTAGCATAATTCAATTCTATCTTCATTGTACTACTGTCCTCAATGAGTCTCTTCCCTCAATATATATAGCGTAATTCCATTCTATCTTCATTGTACTACTGTCCTCAGTGTGTCTCTTCCCTCAATATATGTAGCATAATTCCATTCTATCTTCATTGTACTACTGTCCTCAGTGAGTCTCTTCCCTCAATATATGTAGCATAATTCAATTCTATCTTCATTATACTACTGTCCTCAGTGAGTCTCTTCCCTCAATATATGTAGCGTAATTCAATTCTATCTTCATTATACTACTGTCCTCAGTGAGTCTCTTCCCTCAATATATGTAGCATAATTCCATTCTATCTTCATTGTACTACTGTCCTCAGTGAGTCTCTTCCCTCAATATATGTAGCATTATTTATCTATCTAATGAATGATTCTACTTCTTCCTTGTCTAATGGACTGAAACCTTTCCATCATTAAAATCACACTCCAACATTCTACTTCATCCTTATCAAGTTCTAATGTTTAACTTCCTACTTGTCTAATGCACTCAACCCTTTCTACCTTTAAACTCACATTGCAATGTTCTATTTCTCCTCCTTTTATGAACAAAAGGTCAAAAGATGAATTGTAAATGAATATGGCTAGTTCAGTTTTAAATGTTTGGAGTGTAGAACTTATTAAACATACTTTTATTTTTAAATTTACTTAGCGACTATTGATAACCGTGTCAATGACATCTTTCTGGGTCAAAATCATGATAAACACTTTATCAATTTAAGTTGTTAAAGAAAGAATTGTACGAGATTTAGAAGACTGAAGTTAAAATATTTCTTTTTCAGGAAGCTGAAAGACGAGATGTGTAATGTTCTTTTTTTGATGTGAAAGTAGATCAAAACATCATTTTACATTTTAGTTCTGACTTGTGCACTAGCGGCTGTCAGGTGGATAAGACTAGTTCTCACTTGTGAACTAGCAGCTGTCAGGTGGATAAGACTAGTTCTCACTTGTGAACTAGCAGCTGTCAGGTGGATAAGACTAGTTCTCATTTGTGAACTAGCAGCTGTCTCATGGATAAGACTAGTTCTCACTTGTGAACTAGCAGCTGTCTCATGGATAAGACTAGTTCTCACTTGTGAACTAGCAGCTGTCTCATGGATAAGACTAGTTCTCACTTGTGAACTAGCAGCTGTCTCATGGATAAGACTAGTTCTCACTTGTGAACTAGCAGCTGTCTCATGGATAAGACTAGTTCTCACTTGTGAACTAGCAGCTGTCAGGTGGATAAGACTAGTTCTCACTTGTGAACTAGCAGCTGTCAGGTGGATAAGTATGTAGGATAAAAGCCTAGTGACTTTTCTATTAATTGGTTCTTTTATTTTTAACTTCTTGATAGTTTGTCTATAATCACTGAGTGGATTAATTAATTCTTTTCATTTACGCTTTTGAGTTTCATCCTTTGTTGGAGGTACACAGTTCAGTTGTTGTTAGTAATGCTATTATAGGTGGTGTCAAATGCAACTTACATGCCAGTCAGTCAAATGTTAACCCTGGTGATTTCATATTGTTGAAAGACTAAGCAAAATAAGTACTTCATATTTTCAGATTGAATATTTATATAAGGTTTTCAAATGACATTTCTTTACTTATAGGCTTTAATTTAGCTCACAATTTTGTACATGACCTCTGCAGAGGTCAAAACAGTAGTTTTGCACTTTGGAAACTAAATGTGCAAAATAACAAAGTGTTCAAACTGCTTACATAATGAAAAATTTGGAAAAGTGAGTAATATTTACATAAAGAATAATTTACACTCTGTAAATTTAAGATAAGCTTTAAATTAAATAAAACAGCATGAAATGAATATCTTTTAATATCATTACATTGTGTATGAAAGAGTTAGGCTGGTTTTTTTAAGAAGAGGATGTAATTAATATTTTTTTGTCACCTGACCCTGATACATATGACGGTCAGTATCTAGACTACTTTTGCAATCACTAAACATGTTATTAGGTGTTTTTTTGTATGTGTGTGTCTGTCTGTATATACACACACACACACACCAGTGTTTAATAAAAACGTTAAATTCACATTTTAAACTTTTATCACAATAAACTAACCTAATTCAACATCTTGATCATCTGTCATTATAAGGATTATGTTTGGTTTTTTCCTCAGTTCTCTTCTTCCTAACTGTTCAGATTTTCTGTAACTGGACCAGGAAGAAAACTCGTCTTGAAACCTGGAATGATCTGAACTCTGCCTCCTGCCAGATGGCCAGACAAGGTGGTCTGGTACCTCAGGCGAAATGTCATCTTCCCGATTTATCTTTCTTGAAAGAACAACTGTTCCAACTCCAATCAAGATAAAACCTAGCAGCCATGGTATTTCAGAAGACATGATACTACCAGGAATGACAGAAAGGTGATCCAATGGTTACACTCTATAAGAAATAAAAGTAGGTTGAAAGATGTAACCCATCTATCATATAAAGAATGTAAAATTATATTTCATTCAAAAGAAGATTGTAATCACACACACATACACCATAGCATTTAATACTCAGAAACTTCAGATATTATGATAACCCTTAGAATGGCGTAAACAAGTGCTAGTAAACTGCATATCAAACATTTTATGATAACTTAAAAGATTCTGTGACACAAAATTAACGTGTACCAAATATATCATCTGAACTTACTTATAGTATGCTAGATATTCTACATTGCCTTATGATAATTTTGGACCTAGTATTATTTGAATAACTATGGTTTATCATCATTTCTTTCCATTTCTAAATTACTTGGATCTGGCAGAGCTATTGGAAGCTTAGAAATATGTGAAATTTCACTTTAAGTTTTTTTTATTTATTTATTATTATGATTACTAGTCCACATTTGTGACTAACTTCTTTTGTTGCTTCAAATGTTGAGAGAATATTTAATTATACATCAATACTAACAATTTTTTCTTTGTTTAAAAACAAACTCTAGTTGAACAACTAAGTAAGATGTACGTCTCATTCAATAAGAGAACTGGAGAGTTGCCTTACAACTGACCTTGAGTTTACTCTAATGGCATAGTTGATTTATTGCAACAGTTATAACTGCCATTAAACTCTGCCTACCCAACCTCAAACTCCTAAGCATGGTTACAAAGGACATAATAGTACATTGAATGATATATTTTTACCTTCTTGTTTTTATTTCTTGCCATCACTATTCAAGTTTTTCAATCCCTTAAATACAGCCTACACAGAATTGAGATTATTTTGAAACAATCCATTCTAATGCCAAAAAAGTTGTTTTGTTAAATAGTAACAATTTGATTAATTGTATATTTCCTATTTATCATCAAGATCTTTTTTCTCAGGAAATATGTGAAACTCCTGTGTATGTCAAAAAAAAAAAAAATCCCAGAAGAAAAGTGATGTATAATTTCATGTAGGCCCAAAAGCAAGGTTTACCAAGTTCGTGTGTTTCCACCAGATTTGGGCTAGTTTTTACAGTTGCTTTAATATTTGTTGCTAGTTTATGTAACTATAGCTTTTCAACAGAACTGCTTGCTTAAGGTAACATATACCATCCACACAGTGTTATCTAGGTTTGGTAACATATACCCTTTACATAGTGTTATCTAGATTTGGTAACATATACCCTTTACATAGTGTTATCTAGATTTGGTAACATAAACCCTTTACATAGTTTTATCTAGGTTTGGTAACATACACCCTTTACATAGTATTATCTATGTTTGGTAACATATACCCTTTACATAGTGTTATCTAGGTTTGGTAACATACACCCTTTACATAGTGTTATCTAGATTTGGTAACATATACCCTTTACATAGTGTTATCTAGATTTGGTAACATATATCCTTTACATAGTATTATCTAGGTTTGGTAACATATACCCTTTACATAGTGTTATCTAGGTTTGGAAACATATACCCTTTACATAGTATTATCTAGGTTTGGAAACATATACCCTTTACATAGTATTATCTAGGTTTGGAAACATATACCCTTTGCATAGTATTATCTAGGTTTGGAAACATATACCCTTTACATAGTGTTATCTAGATTTGGTAACATATACCCTTTACATAGTGTTATCTAGATTTGGTAACATATACCCTTTACATAGTGTTATCTAGGTTTGGCAACATATATCCTTTACATAGTGTTATCTAGGTTTGGTAACATATACCCTTTACATAGTGTTATCTAGGTTTGGTAACATAAACCCTTTACATAGTGTTATCTAGGTTTTGGCCTTTTTATAAGAAAAAACAACTTCATACTATGTTTTAGGTACAAAGACATATTCTGGCACATTTTATGTAAAATTGTAGCTAACTTGTGTATTATAAACATAAATAAATACAAAAGAAATGTCTTATATTTCTGATAACTTCTGAAACTATGACTGAATGCTTCTGAAAATAGGTCCAGACTTTGATTGGATGTGAAGAATTTGTCTGATCCAAAGAAAACTGAAAATTAATTCAAGGCCACATTATGACACTGATGAGTGTGCCCAAACTCTCAGCACTCAGAAGTGTGGAGCGACATGGTCACTCTCAGCACTCAGAAGTGTGGAGCGACATGGTCACTCTCAGCACTCAGAAGTGGGGAGCGACATGGTCACTCTCAGCACTCAGAAGTGCGGAGCGACATGGTCACTCTCAGCACTCAGAAGTGTGGAGCGACATGGTCACTCTCAGCACTCAGAAGTGTGGAGCGACATGGTCACTCTCAGCACTCAGAAGTGTGGAGCAACATGGTCACTCTCAGCACTGAGAAATGTGGATAAGGATATTTCAGAACTGAGGTATTTACAAGCCACAACAACTGTCTCTTTGTAGCAAAAGAGATCTAAACACAAATATTCATTTATCATGCTCGTCATTAAAAGCCTTAAGATCTCAACAGCAAATTCCCCTGCAAGTCAAGGTATCACATTCACAGTTTGGAACATCTAGAGGATTATTAGACAGCTGATGGTGAACAACTTGGTGGTGTAACAAAGACTGCTAACAGACCAATTGGAACATCTAGAAGATCACTATACAGATGATGATGAACAACCTGTTGATGTAACTAAGACTGTTAACAGATTAATCAGAATGTCTATAGAATCATTAGTCAGCTGATGATGAAAAACCTTGTGGTGTAACTAAGACCGCTAACAGACCAATCATAACATCTAGAAGATCACTATACAGATGATGATGAACAACCTGTTGATGTAACTAAGATTGCTAACAGACCAATCAGAACATCTAGAAGATCACTAGTCAGCTGATGATTAACAACTTGTTGATGTGACTAAGACTGTTAACAGATTAATCAGAATGTTTACAGGATCATTAGATAACTGACGATGAACAACTTGATGGATCACAATACGAGTTCAAGGTTTAAAGGAAACATATGTTCAAGAACAAATACAAAATCTAGAGAAAATGGTAACGTGCTGATGAATATTTCAATTACAACTATCGTTGTCTGGTTATCTACAGTTGAAATAAGCCACCAACTTAATAAGAACACATGGTGGTAATATTTCAACCAAAGATAATCTGAAGGTTATTCTTACCTTCCAATGCATCTCTCTACACAACAGTGTATGGGTCACAGACATAGAAGAGGAATACAGCTTTAGAAAAGATTTGTGAAGAATTAGGACAAAATAAAGATATTTTTCAAGCAAAACCTCAATAAGTAAAAGAAGTCCTGCTGTACTTTGTGTTCTTTGGCACGTTTATGTTGAAACTAGGGTGCCAGGAAAAGCATTATGGTCAGGCAAGAGTGAGACAAGCTGAAGTTTGATAAATGTCTTTATAACATCTTAATTAATGTAAGAGGAACAGAGAGCAATTTTAAAATACTCAGCAATGATGATAATATTTAGGCTTTCTATGAGATGTATAAAAAGTACAAGAGGAAAACAAACTTGACATGGTAACTTCCTACAGTCCACAGACTAAGGTGTATATTTGTCTGTATGAATGATTCATTGAAACTACAGTAACATGCTGTATACGAACTGAAAAGATGTAGGAAGCCTCAAAAAAACAGTTGTAGTTATAATTTCAAAGACTGTGCCATCTTGTCCTCTCCAAGTTTCTAAAATCTGAATACCTAGGTGATAAGAAGACTGATAAGAGTGTACAAAACATACTAAAGAGTTGTATGCTGGTAAGTTTGGAAGACAATAGTGCCAAACTAAAGCTGCAACCGTTATTGTAAAATGAAGGAACTATCGCTAAATATAACAGTACAGTGTTGAAGCACCAACTGAAAAAACAGGTGTTGATATCTTTTGCTCATTACCACAGTTAAAGGAAGGAAAGAATCCAAGCATCCTAACATTATGATATCAACAGGTGGCTAGGTCCATATGTTAAATGAACTTGAAAACATTACTGTGAAAGCTTGTGGAAAAGTATACATATGTCTGTATACGGGGTATCCATGGAAGTTCATTTTGATCAGCAAGAGGATTTTTAATCAGTTGGCTAGGAGTAAAGAAAGGAGAAACCTTCCTCTGTACTTGTCCACCAAATGCAGCAGTACAGTACAACTAGTTGGTGTTAGATCAGTCATGTAAGAACCACAAAGAGGACTGGTTTCTCCTGTTTATTGAGTTACAAAACTGTGACACTTGAAACTACATATTTTCATTCTCAGGTTGACCATTAAGGAGTTCCAATTATGCTCTTTTTTTTCTTTTTTTTTATCTTTGTTTAGACATGAATAATGGTGGTGTGAAATAAGTTTGGAAAACCTACACATATTACGTGATTATTTTTTGAGAGATAACACTGACACAACCCATGAAGTTAGGACTGAAAAGCTAAGATTACCTAATGACAAACTAAGAGATTATTCTGCATCAACACTGACGAGTCCAGGTTTTAATAAGACAACTGAGTAAAAAGAATTTACATTTCCAAGGTCCAGTCATTGCTAAGAAATCCAATTACAGTGAGAAAGTAAAATAGAAAGTGGCCTAATTAAAAAAGTGGATATTTTGTGAGGTATAGCTTGTTTCAGTTCTTTGAATAATAACCCCCAGTATACCATTTTTATTAATTCAGAAACTTAATATATGAATGTTTATAGTAGTTTAATTACTTCTGTAGCTACATTGTACCATTAAGTTATCTATCAAACATAAAGTAATACAGTGGAGAGCCTAAAACAACCAATGGTAATTTTTTTTCTTACCTAATTCAACACTTTATTTCTAGATTTTCCTAACCAATATTTACTGGTGCCTATTCCAATTTTGCCCCCTCTCTTAGAAAATTTCTGAAACTAAATGAAATAAGCAAGTTCCACCACATAACTTATACACTAATATCTGAGCAAGTTCCACCACATAATTTATACACTAATATCTGAGCAAGTTCCACCACATAACTTATACACTAATATCT